TAACTTTTTATTTTTATAGAACTTGAACGATGAAATTAATAATTTTTTTCAAAGTCCACCCAAGAGACAGGTTGTGAGTGACGAGGATGAATCACCTGAGGTACAGCATATTAATAATGGAGTTCTTAATTGCTTTATTTTTTATATATTTCAAATCTTTTTTTTTTTTTTTTTTAAGTCCGATTATGAAGCAGACGAAGACGAATGTGATAAGTCTCCCCCAAAAATTGACAAATCAGCGTTTTGTAAAGCGCATAGCGCGATTCCAGACAATACCAAGATGCGATTGAAATCAGGAAGGATGGTTGAAGATGTTCTTTTTGATTATGTTAAGGATAAGGATTATGAAGAGTAAGCTTAAAACTTTTTTTTTTTTTTTTTTTTTTTGATTTTAACCTCTCGTTTCTTGGAACTTGAAATATCAATTTTGATACATTAGACACGCGCATTCTTATATTGTAGACTACGACAATGAGAATATAAGATCATTATTTAGTGAAATAGAATGGAAAGAATTAATTTTCGATCGATTGAGCGTTCCTTCACTTTCACAAGAAATTGCTAGTGAACTGACTCGATATGGAACAAAATCTCTAGGAGAACTCCGTGAAATCGTAACTGCTCCATATCTCCAAGATGGGGATGTTTATGATGTTCAAAAACATTATAATTTGGAATGGATTCAAATGTCCATTAGGGCGCTTGTAAATCTCTATGAAAATATGGATTCACCTTTAGCAAGAAGCCAATATGAAGATTGGTTTACAGTTGCCCTTTTTGGAACTTGCATAGATATGTGTATGAGAGATCAGCAACTCGGGACTGACGTAAGAAGGTATTTTATTATTATTTTTTTAATTCTTTATGGATGTAATTAATAAATTATAATTTGACACCTGATTTTTTGTTGTAGAACCGATGCGCCATCCCTAGCAAGCTCTAATAGAAAAAATCGTAATCGACCAAGTAATGAAAGAAAATTTATGGGCCGAAAAATCGATGGTATTGTTTACGTAATCAGCCGATTTCTTGAAATAGGGGCAATAGAGACAGCAAGGTCTTTCTTGGGTGAATTTGATAAAAAATATCTTCACGAACATTTTAAATTACCAAAAACTTTACGTGACATGTTTGCTGACCATATTCGGGCTGTTGATTACGATGATGAAAAAATTAATAAAATTCAAGTCTTTGGAATATTGCATCTTGGATTACGAATTCAGTTTGCAAGATTATGGCGTGCCGGAGGGTCGATCACAATTTTTCGTAAAGATCCTCAAGTGTACTATTTAGATAACAAGTTTTCAGCAGAAGGAATCAAAATCTTTCTTAAATTTCT